GAGTGAGGGAATGGCAAGAATTCTTTTGGATGCATAATTTGTTGCTTTTTTTAACATTTCCATTCATCATATTGCATCTGCCACTTTATCAGCAATTTTCAATTATAAAAATGCCCAAATCAAAGAGCTTTTTGGGTTAGTGATCGTGAAAGATTGCAAGAAATCAGGTTAGTCTTCCTGAAAAACTATTGAAAATCTGGTTAGCCCTGGAAAATTGCTAGAAATCTGGTTAGTTTCTGTGAAAAATTGCCGGAAATCTGTTCGTTCTTCGTGAGAAAATTTTTTCATTCTTCTATTTTGCTACTCGGTTGTTGGACGTGAATTTAAGAATACAAAAAGATACGGTTCTCGTTACAGTTGGTTTTTTTTTGCAGCGCTTTTCACAATATTTGGCATCTTGTAACACAACATTCAATCTTGGCAGTTTTCTGGACAAAAATTCCGCACAAGGTAATGTGCATTTTAACATGTGGATGAATTCGCATGAGTTGTTAACTGTTTATGCTTTTGATAAGTAAGTTTATTACAAATGAGGGCATGTCGTGTTTGCGCTTTCCAACGCAGTGTTTTTGCATGCCGATACTGTTATCGTGCAAAAAAGTGGTTTGTTTTGGTAATTTCTAAAATAGTATTTTGTTGTACTGGCCTTCTGGCTTTATATATTGGTAGAGAGGGCTCCTTTCATGCTAAAAATGCAGAGTTCGATTTCGCCGGTGGGCAGTCTACTAATACTTCTGTGATTTTTTGATTCGTTTCGAAGATGAGTTGATACTTTTATTCGCCAGAAAGTTAAAGCCTTCATCAGTTTGCTTATGAACAACCCGTGAAAATGGGAGCCATCGATAGTCTTGCCAGCGAGTGATTGCTGTTAATTTGGTCTACTTGATGTTGCCTGCATCCTGCACAGAGAACAAATTTTGGGGGGATTTTTATTTTTTCATCAAACATTCAATATGCGTTGATTTTGTGCATTATAAAGACACCCATATTAGATCATCATTTTTCCGTGGATTATACGCGTTCCGTGTCGCGAAATTGGGCTTCCCTGGATTCGGTTCTCATTGGTAAATTAATCATTGTGCATGTGTTTATCTTCTGGGAATCATTAATCCTGCACTTGCTGAGCACCACATTCAATTTCAGTTTAGCTTGAAACATTTTCCTTTGCACTTTACAGAAGCTTGCACTGCACCCACCAATTTCATTGATCATTTCCTGCCTCATTTCCTTTCTCCTATTTATTTGCTTGCAGAAGATTACAGCATCATTTACCGTCTAAAACTCAAAACTCCTGCCTCCCACTATTAGGCAGTACTGGCCATTTTGTGTCGCAATGCTAGCTTCTAGTTCAGCGATGGAGAAGCTTTATGGAACATCTTGGGTCTTGGTCATGCACGATCAATTCAGTGCAGTGCAGTGCAATAAAAACCCCGTAATAATCCCCATTAGCTGAAAAAATACAACATAATGTGGGC